TATATTTCTTCTAGGGATCTAAGGTAAGGGGAGTTAATCATTGTTATTATAATTGATTTAGTAGTGCTTATATAATTATAGGTTTGTGTTGGGGTAGTGGTTGATGATGTTAATATGATGCTTTGATGAGAATTGATGAGAATTGATGAGAATTGTGACATTGTGTTACCATGAATTGATGTATATGATGTATATTAGAATGTGTTGTTATTGTATGATGAAAATATGTGAGGTTAGGATGATTTAAGACCTATACTGTGTTGGAATCGCAAGAATTGGGACTGGTTTGGTGCAGGAAAACGCAATAGGAAAACCCTGTTCGTGCAGCCTCGTTGGACGAGCAAGATGCTTCACCGGGCGAAGGCGTTTTTCACATGATGTGTCGGGCGAGAGAGAAGCGAAGGAAGTAGTAGAAAAACATAGCCCCTAGAATTTGTATGGAGGTGGGTGACTCGCCTAACTTTGTCGGGAGAAGTGGGAGCGAGAGGAGCTCGTCGCGCGAGAGAATAGATTTGTCGGGCGAAGGAGACAAAAGAAAAACAATGCTCCTGAATTTTTGTATGGGGGAGAGATTCTCGCCCCAGCCTCGTCGGGCGAGCCTCGAGCGAGCAAGCTGCTTCGCCGGGCGAGCCTCAGGTGAGGGGTGTCTGACAAAAATTTCAACAGGTTATAACTTGAGTTTCAGGACTCTGTTTGACGCATTGTTCAAAGTGTTAGGAAGCTAACGCGATGCACTATGATTTGTTGGAATAAAATAAGTTATATGATGTATCTTTCATGTACCTTACTAGGATTAAACTAGATCGTGAGTGATGAAATATGTTAATATTATGATGAACTGGTGTGATTGTGCCATTGATGCAACATGGTGTATATTCCTATGATAGATCGATGTTTGTGATGGTGATGTTTTGTGTATTATGATATATGTGATTACATGTGATGAATTCATGTATGATGATGCATTTTGACTAGTTATGGTCGTGTTTATTGTGTTGTTGTGCATCATGCATTCATGACATACTTTAGGACTTTGGTCTAGTGATGTTGTTAGGACAATTGGTCTAGTGATGATAATAGGAATATAATCCAATGATGGCCTCAATCCTATAGTGTAGATTGAGTGAAATATTATGATGTGCTCTGGTTCTAAGTGGGACTCGATCCTATTGTTGGGGATCTTTGAAGAAACGATGACTGAGTCATCAATGAAATTTTGGTACCACATACATGAGTCTAATGAAGTTGCATTACATTCTTTATGGCATTACATAATGGTTTATTAAGTGATTATTTGTGAATATGTGAACTAATGATGTCTTGGTGATAATTTTTTACTGGTGATATGAGGATGCTATGAATAAATGATGAACTGAAGGTGTGAGTATAACATGAAGTTTTGATGGTGTGTGATGTTTTGCTATTGTGTTGTAACTATTATATCTATGCCATATGTCTTTTGTAATGATTATGATTATTCACCCTTTCTGCTTGAAAATATTGTCTATATACGTGGGTAACTTGCAGGTGATCATGATTAGTGCATTGAAGCTTAGAGGATTAGATTCAGAGTGCGTCATTTATTTCTATTGAATAAGAGGGTCTTGCTCTGATATGTAACATCGAGGTTGAGAATATTTGTTTTTAAACTATTATGTTTTCTTGTTTATTTTGAAATGATGAGTTACCTTTCATGGTATTTTGTTGTTTGATATATGAATCATGAATGATGAAGTGTGAGGAAGACTCTGAATTATTTTTAATAAAGATATTTTGAGACTATGATTCCGCTGCAATAATCTGAATTTTTGATATTCGATGATATTAAAGAATATTTGTGTTAGATGTTTTAAAAACCCGTGTTACGTAGTAGAATGTTTTATATGATGTTTTTACGAAGATGTGACACCCTTGTTGGTGATTTTATTTGATTTAATTTTGTAAAATATATGCAAAATGTATGTGGGTCTAGAAGGGTTTATAGAGAACATGGTGAAATTTGCAAATGACAATACTCTAGCAGTTGAAGGTATTGGTGATGTTTTGATTATGAGGAAAGATGGCCAAAGGTCAATAATTTCCAATGTATTGTATATACCAGGCATGAAAAGTAATTTGCTCAACATAAGGCAGTTGATCGGAAAAAATTACAAAGTGTCGATTAAAGATAAAATAATGAGAGTTCTCCACTCAGGGAAAAGGTTAATATTGAAGGATCCTATGTCTCAAAATAGAACCTTCAATATTAAACTTAATTTGATGGAGCACAAGTGCCTTGCGACTGTAGTTAGCAGGGATGAATGAATATGGCATTATAGACTTGGTCATCTCAACTTCAAAGACATCATAGATTTGAAAAGAAGAAATATGGTTTATGAATTACCAGAAATCTATATTCTAAATGAAGTATGTAAATAATGTGTGCATGTGAAGCATCACAAGAATAACTTTAGCAAGGATGAAGGAAGCAAGTCGAAGGCAATTCTTGAAATCATATACTCTGATGTGTGGGGTCCAATCCAGGTGGATTTGATTGGAGAAAATAGATACTTTGTCACATTCATAAATGATTTTAGTCAAAAAAATATGGACTTACCTGATCAAGAAGAAAAGTGAAGTGATCGAGATATTTGCCAAGTTTTAATCTATGGTCGAAAGACAAATTGGTCGAAAGCTCCAGATTCCGAGGACTGGTAGTGATGGAGAACATGTGTCAAGAGATTTCAGTATATTATGTGAAAAGGAAGGGATTGTGCATGAAGTGGTGCCACCCTACACTCCACAACAAAATGGAACTTCTAAAAGAAAGAATATAACTATCATGAAAATGGTTAGAAGTATGTTGAAAGGCACATATTTATTTAAGGAATTTTGGGATGAAGTTGTGTCGACTGCAACATATATTTTGAACAGGTGTCTGATGAAGAAACTAGAAGGAATTATGCCACAAGAGTGTTGGTTTGGTGTCAAGCCTAGCTTGAGTCATCTGAAAGTATTTGGATATATAACACATAGATATTTTCCTGATTGGGTGAGAAGAAAACTTGATGATAAGTTGAGTCAAACGATCCTAATAGGATATCATTCGAATGGTGGATATAAGTTGTTCGACCCAGTGAACAAACAAGTAGTGATCAGCAGGGAAGTGATTATATATAAGCTTAAGGAATGGGATTAGACGGAAAATGCAAAGAAGAATTTTGTGAGAGTCTTATGTGAAGAACCAGCAAGAGAAGTCGAAAGGTAAGTTCGACAAGAAGAAGTCAGAGATCAAGCAGGCACAAGTAGACCTCAAAGAACAAGACATATGCCTGCAAGATTGTAGGAATGTGTGATTATATCAGATGATGCAGTCGATGATGGAGGTGAGCTGGTATACTATACTTTCTACGCAGATGTCAAACCAGTCAATGTAGCTGAGGCATTGAAGGATTTGAATTGGATGAAAGCGATGAATGAGAATTGAAGTTCATCAAAGTCAACAACACTTGGTCACTTGTCGAATTTCTTCAAGGCAAGAAGGAATTGATGTGAAGTGGGTATACAAGGTGAAGTTGAATCTCAAAGGAGAAGTAACTCAACACAAGGCAAGACTTGTGGTGAAAGAATTTCTTCAGAAAAAAGGAATCGACTCCGACGAAGTTTTTGCATCTGTTGCTAAGATCGAAATAATCAGGTTGGTTGTTGGTCTGACAAACATGAACAATTGTCAAATGTCAGATTTGGGCAACATTTCATATTTCCTTAGTATCGAATTCTACAAGAATAGTAGAGGAAGCAAATTTAGGCTTATTTTGTATGTTTTAGAAGAATTGGGTTATTTGTTATGCTTAGGGAGGAAACAAACTTAACCTATAAATAGGGAGTTACCTTATTGTTGTAAAATAGTGATTCACTTGCAGTTATATAGAATAAAAAAATCACAGTTTGAGAGCGGAGAGAAACTCTGCAGATATTCTCTTTTTCTTTCCCTATTTTGCTGAAACCCTAATTTCCTTTCTTCTCCAATTTCATTTTTTCTTTCTTCTTCTATTAACGATTGTGCAACAGAACTATCTTACAATCAAAGTTGATTGATTCACTCAAATAAAGAGTAAAAACAAGAGATAAAATCGATCAATTAATTAATTCTTTTTCATCAAAATTGATTTGAAAATTTCAATATATTTAGTGTAATTCCAACCATCATTGCCTATAGAGCGTCCCTGTTGCCTCTTATATGACTGAGAGTATATGGTTCACGAGCTTGTGGTTACTGAATCTCTTTGGTCCTCTTCCACCATGGTACATAAAGGACCAACAACATTATTTATGTTGTTGTTAGCATAGATCTCTCGGAAACAACACTAGCAAACATGTCACTCAGTCTATAGATAATTCTACCACATATTCTTCTTTATCTCATTAAAAAAACAAAAACAAATAAATAAAGTTATTATATTTTAATCCTCAATAATATATATTTATATTATTAAATAGTATATTATTAGATATATAATTTATATTACTAGATATTAAAAGTAATTTTTAAATTTTGAAAACTTTTACTATTTTAAATCTTTTATAAAAATTTCTTTTAAAAATATAAAAAAAAAATATTTTTTTAAAGTTAATCAATATAGAACTATAAAAGTAATTTTATATTACTTAATGTATGTTATTAATTTCTTTAAAATGTGAGCTCATGTCCACCGCAGTTGACCTACAAATCAAAGTATAATAACGGTTGGACTGTTGAATGATAAATTTCCACTAAGTTTGGCACAGCCCAGTCTAACTTGAATGAAACTTGACTTCTGTCTCTTTCTGAACTTTTGGTAAAAAATTTACAATTTTTCTATAGTAGAAAATAAAGTAATTTGGACTTTTACAACAACTCATTCTTGTTTGCATTTGCCTCCAAAAGAAATCAGCAAGTAAAGAATTTTGTAAACAATTATATATATATAAAATAAATCATTGAGTCAAGAACTATCAACAAGCAAGTTGGAGCTCTATAATTACAATTCAACAACTTCATCTTCTCTGCATTCCCCTACATCAATCACCATTGTTCCTTTCCTCTTTGTATCTTGAACCCTACAACAATTTCTTCTTGGAGACTGCTCAAAATAACAAAATCATATTTATTTCATTAACAAACTATTCGTCAAATAAAGCGTGTGCATGCGTATATGCGTGCGCACACAAAAGAAAAGTGCAACATTTTGGTTTATGAATTAGAGAAATTCGAAAGTACCTTGTCCCATAAATGCGGGTTGGCTTTTTTATAAACCATTACCACTTTGATTTGAGTTGGATCCTCCATTTTCCACTTGCAATCCGGATTCGTTTGAGTTCGGACATATCGACTAGCAGTCTCATCTGTATCCTCATCTTGAATTGCATTAGACAAATAATAAATAAACGGTTTCTGACAAACATTTCGGCTGACTGGGCGCGTGTTGAATGGATATGCAGTGTAATCAGCCCGCTTGTACCAATTTAGAAAGGTCCTTGCTGGCATCTCCATCTCTCTAGCCGAGAAAATGCCACGGAAAATTTGAACCGCGTAGCCCCATGACACGGATATGGTCCAATTCCGTGTCTTGTCGTAGCAAATGGATTGTTGGATGAGTCCGGCCGGGTCCAAATTCATGGGCACAGTAAGACGCTTTAGGGCTTGGACCCGGCTAACATTCGGAAAGATGGGCTCCACTACGTCTAAGTGGTGGAGAGATACCAATGGTGCAATAGGATGGGCTGCAAGAAGCCCGAAGAGATTCCCATATACATCAAACTGGAAAAATCAAACACAAAACATAACAAAACAATGTCAAATTATGATCAAGAACAAGTATAATAGATAATGAGCAAACTAGAAAATGTGTAATGTTAAACAAACAAAAAATGTCTTTCACACACAATCAGAGTGTATTGTATATCATGTCTAGTGTCTGATACATGTCAATTATCTTTGTCTGCACAACAACTCTCTAAACCAATCAAACTTATTGAGCAAGAGAAAACAAAAGTTTGATAAGTTGATTAAATTGGACAAGATTTTAGGTGAAGTGGAAAAGTATTATATTGCCGACAAGTATAATTAGAGTTAACCAATCATGGAGGTTGTGACGTGCTTTATGGTGTGACTAAGAGTACTTTATTAATATTAAATTTGAATGGTGTCATTTCAACTACACCAAATACAATGCACATTAAAAGCATAATAAAGTGACACGTAAATGCTTCTACTATTAAATAGTCACAAAATGAAGCATCTTAAGAGCAACTCTAGTTCTGCGACTCCTCAATTTGTTTATAAATAAGAATGTAGGGAGTAGTATATTAGTATTATTTAAAGAGATAAATAATTTAAGACAAATAAAAATAAAAATGAGGAACATATTGTAAGACACAGAAAATAATTTACAATACAAATCAAATATTAATGATTATTTTTTATATTTATTTCTTTTAATATTTTAACTTTTTTATTTTCTTTTTTAATATTATTAATAAAGAATAATTTTATAAAATGACATAAAATGATTCTATGTTAGTAAACAGAGACTGGGTCGTGAATAAGAATAAAAAATAATTATATAGAAAAGATAAATAATATAAAATATGCATAGAAAAGATAAATAAATTAAAATATGCATAGAAAAGAGTGAATGGTTAAGAATAATTTAAAATGAATTATACATTGAGATAGTAACTAGTTTAAAACCAAAACAAGAAAATTTCAAAATGACATAGTACAAATTGGAGCAGAATGGCCAACTTTGTCAATTCCCATAATCTATTCAAAAGACTAGTGTATGTATTTATGTGTTTTTTTTTTGGTAGTATTAGTAAAAATAAATTGAACATTACTCAAATTCACATTGAGTATATTTTTTTGGATGACATCACACTTTTGTGAGTTATTGTGACTGAAATTCATCTCTAAATAGTGATAAATGATCTAGGCAATATAGACTATAGTTATCCAAAACAATTATTTGAATCTTCTCAATGTCATCTAAAAAACATTTCATTTAATGTTAGTACTACTACTACTTATCTAGGAGTAACTTCTAGCATCTACTTCTTTGTCTTTTTTGCCTGCCTATATTTTTTGTATAAGTTTTTTCTGATTTTATTACATCTAATCTTTAATTGTTAGTATTGTTTTTTTCATCCATTGCCAGGTAGCACATTTTTAACTATTATCATTGACTATACTTGATTATTAAATAATATTGCATTTGCCTCTCAAATTTATCCAAGTCATAGATATCCTAGGAAGATTCATTGCAATAAATAATTACATCAAACTTCTTCACAAATTGACCATTTTTATGTAAAGAAACAGTACTAAAATTGAGAAAGCAAATTCACTATAATATCACTCATACTAAAATAAATATTAAAAATAAAAGAGTTTAATAGTCATGTATTGACTGTGTAAAATAATTTTATAATATCAATTAATAAAAGTTTATTATTAAGTCATATTATATAATTAATTTAAATTTTATAGATGTGATGGAATATATAGTGGTGATTGATTCAAGTATAAAATTGTAATGGTATATTCCATTTTCTAAAAAACCCACAATATTTTTTCAAATAAAAAAATTACAACTCAATTAAATAATGATAATTTGTCAAAAAATCAACCTAATTTTCAAAAAATCAACCTAATTAAGTCAAAAAAAACTCAACCTAATTTCCCATTTCTAATTCTATATACTTTACAATAAAATGATATGAATAAAAAAATCAAAACTTTTTCTTTTTGAGTTAGATTTTCTTCTACATCTTCCAATAACTAAATTTCCATTTCCATTTTCCACTCTTACCAAAAATGACTCTACCAATATCTACCAAAAGAAATCTTTTAGACTAACCAATTGTGAGTTTCTATTCCAACCACTTATTCCTTATCAATCATCAAATAACTTAAAAATTATCCGCAATAAATTCACCAACTATAAGTCATATAGATCAGATAAATTAATTATTTAATAAATTCGATTCTATTTCAAATTCATAAGTTATTTAATAAAATTAATTATTATTATAGATCAGATACATCAATTATTTAATAAAACGAGTTAGTGGTGCTAACCTGATGAAAACCTTTCTCCTTGGTAAGAGGAACACCAAGCTCAGACATACAAGCTTGAATCCTATCATCAGAGCCATACAAAGCAGGATACCTTTGAATACACCTATCTTGCATTTTCTCCAAAGCCAGAGCCAAAGGATAGCTAATAGCAAAGCCACCACCCCCATAAGCCATATTATAAGAAAAATAAATATTCTGCAAATGACTCTCGGAAGAACTCCCAATATAATAAAACCCATTATGATCATATTTCCTCAACACATTCACCAAATTCTCCCCGACAAAAAACGTATCATCGTCTCCCATTACAAACCACCGCACATCCTTCATCCCAACCCGCACGGTCTCCGACACAATCCTAGATATCCTTATAGCTGATTTATGACCCTTGGAGTTTTTGTACTTGAAACTCGTTGTGTCTTCGGAAATTTTTAGAATTGGTAAAAGGTTTTTGTCTTCAGGATCTGGTTTCACCTTTTGTTCTAACCAGACAATGCCGCGCATTTGGTTTGGTTTGTACCAGAGTTTGATGTACTCTTTTCGCTTTTTCCAGAGCTTCGCTGATGCGCCGATTCCGAACACTATGTGTGAGATGTTGGTAGGAGACTCTTGTTGTTTTTCTTGAAATGGGTTATGTGTTTGAGGTTGGAAACTTGTGTGGGTGTTATGAATAATGGGTAGGTTTTGGTCACAATTGGAGTTATGAGTAACGAATCTGAGGGAGTAGAAGAGGTATGAGATTGAGATTAAGAGGAAGACGAAAGTTATAAGCTTTGAGAAGGTTATTGATGAGTGGAGATTGTGGTGATCTGGGTCTTTGAAAGTGTTCTTCATGGTTTAGAAAAATGGGTTTTTTTGTGTGTTGTCTTGTGTTTTGAGATTGGGTAAAGTTTGAAAGGTGGAAATGAATGAGTTAGAATAATAAAGGAAGTTGGGAATTACGAGAAAGTTAGGAATTTTGAAAGAAAAAATGTCAAACTAAATGAACCGTGTTTAGTGCAGAATACTACAGCTATGTTGTGCTAAGGAAAACATTGGCGTGTGTAGATTTCTACACAAAAATACAAATTTGAGTTTTATAAAAAGAGGAAAGAGAGTATTTGAATGTATATATACTATACTAGCAAAGTTTAATATGTTGATTATTAATGTATTTGAAAGATAAAAAAATTAAGTTGTCAAAAGGTAAATAATATTTATAAATATTATTCAATTTAGCTTTTAATCAAAATATTTTGTCACTTAATTGTTCTACATCAAACAACATATAGTATGAAAGTATGAATATGTAGTTAATTATAAGTGGAGGTAATTTTTACAAGTTATTTTTATAGGGATGAGTTAGATTAAATTCTAATTTTATTATAGTATTAGTGTCTTATTTAAGATTTTTTTTAGCCATTTACTATCAAGTTTCTATTGTCGGATTGTAATAGCCTAAAAACCCCAACTCATTATTTATAAAGTCATGCTAATAAGATTACTCGAATAAGGTGTTACACATTCTCACCAATCATCTTTCTTAACATAACATGTATTAAAGCTGCGGAATAAACATCAAAACTTCAAAATAAATCAATATTGGTCTCAACATCTCAGAAGCATAAAATGCAACAAAGCAACTTGTCCCCCAATGTTACATATCGCACCGATGTCAAAACTAAAATGGCAGTAAAATAATAAATAAATGAAGAGACTTCAACATTATCCTCCGGCTCAACAGCAACTAGTGTTCCTTTACATGTTTATATCATTCATAACCATCGACAGTCGTAAGTACATTTGTATATGCAATGCACACATCTCCTCATCACCAATGCATGTGCTACCAATCTACTCACCAATTTTTGGATGTCAGAGTTACGTTATTTATCAATCTCATCATCAATGTTAGACATCAGAGTTATATTACTGCTTAGTCCACTCACCAATCTCACCAATACACATATCTCTTATATACATGATACATGAGATGCCACAACAATATAAATGCAATAATCATCACCAATGGTTCTCTTATGAACCACCTATGTCACCAAAAAACAGCACACCACATAATGATAACTCAATAGATCACACATAATTGCATCATTACTTAACATAATACTCCTCAACAAGTACGACTTCACATTAACACTCAACACAGTCAACTCACGACTCTCCCAAGCTTGTACATGATTATTCTACTTTTTATTCCACAAGTTAGAGTCACTAGGTGTACTCTGCTCTTAATTCGACTACCTTTCGACTCAGCTCTGAACATGTCAGACAGCTCAATACATCGCTTATTTATTCACACAATACCAACAACACCGACTCAACTCACCAAACTCCTTGAAACAACAGCAAACTCCACCACAATGGTTCCCATATGAACCAAACACTTTAACACAATTCAATAATATCAATCATACCTCAACATAGCAATTAGGTTACCTAATTCTCGACAATACTCCTCTTGTAAACGCCACAAGAAGATATTACATTTAGTTTATCATGTACATATTTACCCCCCTCCTCCAAGACTTGACCATGTAGTATTCTTACATGTTAGCTTCTAAATGCTTCAAATTGTGCCTCAAATAGAGTCACAAAACTCAAGTTATGACGAAAAGAATATTGAAATTCTGGTATTCAGATCTCAGATGTCCTAAGAGATGTCGAGACACTGATCTCTGAACAATAATGCAATGAAAATTTCAAACAATAAAACAATGCAGAAAACTAAAGAACACACAGAATTGTTAACCTAGTTCGGTGTACAACAACACCTACTCTAGAAGCTACCAATCTAGGAAGGAAATCCATTAAATAGTATCAATTAGAAGCTAAACTCTCCCATTTACAACTTCTCACTTAATCACTATACATGTTATACTTTTACCTATGACACACTGAGGTATGAGATCCCTCTCACTTCCCTTTCAGTCACAAGCAGTGACAAGAACAACTCTAAACACTTTAGAATACTTTTAAAAGACACACTTCAAAGACACACAACCATTCAATACTTAGAATCTTAAAAATGATTGACAGAACTTACATAAACAGAACCAACTACTGATTAAAAGCTTATGAGTGATTCACAATTACAACTAAAAAGAACAGTCATACTCTTATAACAATATGATATTAGAGAGACTCACAATTAACACACACAAACCCTAACAAAAAAATATGTAAGTTCCACACTAAAACTAGGTTAGTGACAATCTATTTAAATCAATATTCTAGGCTAGATTGGGCTTCAAAACCGCAGCAAACCAGCTACTACAAATTAGCAGAAACTTCTGCACAAATATAGGACTTCAATCATTAGTTTCCTAAATTATATTCATAATAAAAAACTAATAATACTCCTCGAATTTAGCTTTAATCTCTTAATCTTCAAATTGTGTGCCACATAGTGTTGTACCCCAAAATTTGCCCTCCCATTTCATCAATATTTTCTCACCACAAGACCCTTGGAGCTCAAGATCAAGTTAGGGTTTACTCTGCTCAAGACTCCTCCTTGCACTATTGACCCAAATTAGGGTTTAAGCTTGCACAAAGATGTTTTGACCTAAAATGCCCAAAATGACTTTCATGCTTCATGTTGGACTCACAAGTTTATCCATACCAAGTTTCAAGCCTTGATTCCAATCTTTGCCCAGTCAATTGGACAGTTGACCTAGAAATCAGCTGTATTGGGAAAAAGTCAACTGTGGTCAATTGACAGTCAAACCTCATGATTTTTGACCCACATCAACATTATGAACTCATATGGACCATTTGGTCAAGTTTGGATCACAATTCCACAAGAAATTTGATCAGATCACCAAAAGGGCAAAATGGTCATTTTTAGGGTTTTGACTGCACAAAGGCAATTTTTTACTGTTTGACCTGGCCAATGGCAAACCAAGCTCACATATGGACTCAAGGACTCAATGGCATTGTCTTGACATGTTCAACAAGTTCAAAAGATCCCAAATGCACAAGATTGACAGATGAATTTTCCAGTCAACTGATCCAAATTTGACTGTATACTGAAAAGTCAAACTTTGACTTTTTGGTCAAAATCAAGTGCCAAGATCCATTTTTCATCAAGTCATGTCAAATTATGAAACTTGTTCATCAAGAAATCAAAAATCACAAATTAGGGTTTGAAATGAAGGAATTTCATAACTTAGAAATTTTCTAAGTTATGAAAATTCCTAATTTTTTCCTAACTTTGTCCCATTTTTTCATCAAGATGTATTTGGATTCAAACAAAACTCAAAACATGAAAGTTATATTCCATTGCAAAATCTACAACTTTGATTCACAAAGTTTCCTCAAAAGAAGCTTGTAGCTCAAGTTATGATTTTTGGAATAGGGGTGCAAAACATTCTTAACTTAGAAATTTTTTTGACCTATTTTAGGCAGGATTTTTGCCTAACTTCATGGCCACTTTTCACATGCTTCCACTTGGAATTACAACTTGCATTACAAAGATGGATTGTAGTACACATTCCAAGCTTTACAAATTGTCCAAGAACTTCTCAAACACCCTTGTGGTTAGGGAGAATCGAATTTGTGAAGATGGGCAAAAGTCAATTTGTTCATGGCCAATTTCATGTTCATAACACTTTGCATTTTTCAAGTCAGCTTGCACAAGCTAGATTACAGGCCTCTAATCCCATTCTTACTCAATAATTTAATGCAAAACCTTTGTGTCCTAGCATTATCTTGTTCATTAAGTCATTACACAAAGGTTTAGTCTTAAAATGGAAAAAGCATTTTAGCCATTTTTGAAAAGAAGTGCTTTATGTCAAAAGCAAATCAAAGAAGTACCAAAGCAGATCTTTTGGGCACAAGTTCATGAACAAATTCCACTGATCAAGAGTGATTTGTGCAGCATGCTTGAGGGGCCTGTATGAGCCTACAATCTAACTTGACAACTCTTGCTTATCTAAGAAGAAAACTTGCATTTTGAACAACATCTCTCATTCCTGTAACAACTAGCCAAAGCAAAGTTTGTAAACATTTTCCATACATCATAACTGACCTAAGGCACGACCAAACCATCCCTAAAACTCCCTCATTCACAGAAACACCATTTTTCTGCAAGAAACAGGGCATCCTGCATTTTAACTTGGCCAGTTCATTTCCATCGTGCGTTTTCATCCAAACCAGTTCAAATACATTCCCTACCATTCATACAAACTATCCCAAGCCTTGGAAACATAATGTAACAGCCATAGCCAAGTGTGCCATTTTCACTTTTCTCTCTTGCAGGTTGACTTCCATGGAGTGATTCAGAAGGATTCAAGGCACACCAAGCATAGAGGAAGTATCCTTGGACCTCATGCAAGTTGTACCAATCCTCAAATTCCATTGAAATTGCCTCCATTGTTGTACACGATTCAAGCTGAACAGGTAAGAGTTTAAACTTCTATCTCTCTATCCAAGCATATCTAGGCTTAGGTTTGTGAAGAAGTTATATCCTACTCATGGCCCTGAAGCTACCTGTATCCTCACTTTTCATTTATATTGTGTGTGTGTTAAGAGAATTTAGAACCTGAACATTAGAAAAAAGTTAGGTCAGGAATTGGGGGAGAAGAAATTCTCTCTCATTTGAGAGTTAGATCAACTTCTTTATATGTTTAGAATCGTGACATGATGCTCTATAATGTTTATGTTGTGAGTTTTTGTTAAAAGTCAAAGAATTAAGAGATAGCAGGGATGGAAGAAAACGCGCGTTTTTGTTTGAAAATGGCTGGAGGTTGAAGACAAAGTCCTTTGGGCTGGGCCTGACTTGTTTTTTCTGTTTGCACCATCTTTTTACACTTACACCCCCATGGCCCATTGTGTGT